TAAATATTTTGTTGGATCTTGTGAACGGAGATTTATATATTTATGTTATACAAAAGAATTTTTTGAATGATAAGTAAATAAAGTAAAAAAATGAAGAGAAAAAAATTATGAGCTTATGAAAATGATCCTGCATAAATCTTACAAAGCTATCATAATTTTTTAGTGGTGAATACATTGAAAAAAAATATATCTCAAAAATACAATATTGAAGATTAGCAAATGATTTTTTAAATAGATTCAATAAAGAAATGTTTAGAAAGTTGGTTGCAACCATTCAGACAACATTGATAAAAGCTATCTTTACATTTTTCACCATCTTCATTTCAAAAGTCTCCATTGAAATGCGACTTCACTTGAGCGTAGATAACAAATCAACGTAAACATGCAGAAAGGTTCACTCGAGGGTTACCTTCTTAGTTCAGCTCGTGTGTCAGTTGTGACCATCACCACTAAGATCTTGTTTTTAATCTTCATCAAAATTGGCTATCATGATTAAATCATGAGCTAAACACTTTGTGAGGAGGAGTTTTGCTAAGATTTAGAATCTTGTCCAAAAGAATTTGCCCATTATCGGACCTTTGTGCATTTTGTCCATTCAGGATGTGATCTGGCTCTTGTTTTTTGTAACCAAATATTTTTTCTGTCAATAGGTCTTAGGTTCATTCGTAGATGCTTCTGTCTTTGTCCCTTGGATCTATATTGCACTTTAACGTCCCGCTTTAGTTCATAGATTCGGTGATTGGTCCCATCCATCGAACTGGATCTAAGATCTGGACCTTGGACCATGCGAGAGTAATAGGTACTTGGAGACCCTTTGTCTTTTCGGTCTAAGTTAGGGTCAAGACAGACCCGACACCAACCAAGCCACTATCTCATGCTCCAAAGTTAGCTCCGATCTAACCTTCTCTCAGAGAGAGCTATTACTGCTAATATATTTTCACCGTTTCTCTCATATTTTTCGAGTTTGCTTAATCCGCCCATACTCCTTGGTCCTTGCAATTTTTACCCTAATCCGTGTTGTGACTCATTATTTTCCAGTCATTAGATTGATAATAATTTCTTGGTCCCAGGAGCGTTACCCTAATCTTGATGATTTTGGAAACTTGTTTCGAGAATTTTTCATCGCTATTGTAAATGATTATCAAACAGCTTAGTCACAACAAAGGCAAACTTATACGTTGCCTTCAAGTCCAAAAATTACGTGCCTTTTGAATTCCTAACTTAGGTACCATATAGCCATCAAGAAGGGCGTCTTACTAATCGCTGCGTTCTTTGTGTTTAAGACTTTATTAAGATCATATTCGTTGAAGGAGTAGTATCAAACGCTTAAATAATGCAAACGGAATCTCAAATCAAAGAAAACTCATTCAACCGGTTGATTCAAACCCAAACTCATTATGGTATTTGCAGCAAATGCCTATACACCTGACCAGCGCAACTTAAGCTCCAGTCAATATTCACATATCGTCTTTGCACACTCGATTTTTTTACAACTGCACTATAAAGATATTTTCAAAATACTTTGAAGTTTCTTAACTCTCGCCAAATCCTCATGCCACTGTTTGCAACGTTCTTATTCAAACATGTAATTAAATGGATTGATTGATACACCATGCACTTTTATCAGAGACTTTCTTAGTGTTTCAGTCGTACTGGTGCGGAAAAATGTTGGTTATCTTCTGAAAGTGCAAAAAGAAACCTCTTTCAATTTCTATGCCCATGATAAAAAGGATTTTGTATTTCAAACTTTAAATGTCGTATTAAATTCATATATATCTCTATTTTGAAAATGGTTAATGAATTCTCCATATTTATCTACAAAAAATTAACCCTTTTACATAATGGGTTAATTTAATTCACATTCAATAGTAAGCAGATGCTAAGTTATATTGAAGATTCAATATAAGTCATCTATGATGTGAAATTTATTTGATTGAAATTAAGCTTTTGACATCAAAATGCTTCAACTTTTTTTTTTAAAGTGATACATTATTATGAAATTGTGGCAAATTATTGCATTAGAGATTAGGTTTCAGATCTATAAGCATTAGAATAAATAAAAAAGTATATACTTTGTTTCTAGAATTGTAGACATGTTTTCCAGCTGACTACTTTTTTATAACAAAAAGGTTTAGTGAAATTTATATATAGGAAATTTATTGTTCATTAATTTCATAGACTTATTTCCAAGTTTTAATTGAATTATATTTTTGATTAGTTAAAATTATTTTATTCATCGTTAGTTGAATTTGTTCATTTAATTATATATAAAAAGCTAACATAAATTATGCAAGATATTAATTAGGGTTTGTAGTAAGAGAGTCTGCTGTATACCGTGAAGATGATCTTGTCGAGAAAATTATTGATGTTTGTTGACTTATTAAAAATGAAAATCAATCATGACGTACACACGTATATTGAAACTTAATTAATGGAGAATAAATGATTATTCCAATTCAATTACAATGAGAGACTACTGTGCGAACGAAAAGAATTTACCAGCGCATTACTCACCTGTTATTTACAGTAGTGAAAAAGTTATTACATTGAGATTCATATGAAAAAAAAAATATATATATATAGTTAGAGAAATTTTTTTGTGAAAATTTGCTCACGGTGTTGTCGTAAGCAAATCATGTGTATATCATTATAGCTATACAATATCATGAAAACATCCAAGAAAAAGCTTATGCAAATCATCATGTTCGATATCGTGGTACAGTACTTACAAGATTTATATGGCAGCAGCAAGTTGAAATTGGGAAAGTAATCGTGTATAACTTTAAGGAAGGTATCAGTTATATATGACCATATAAAACAATTATTTCAGGTTTTATTGAAACTCGAGGAGGTTGAGTTATCCGGATGAAGATCTATTTGAAGTTCCTAAGCACTCGTTAGGACATGTCCGATTATTCCGGATCGAGGTAAGACATGGATAAACACTTCTGCATTCAAAGTCATAGTGCTTGTAACTGTAGAAAGCCACTCAATCAGTTGTTTCTATCCAGCTCCTATTCCAAGTTGGAATAAAAGGCTTTACAGGCTGGAACAAAATCTCACATCATTCAGACATGTAGGACTTGATGAAGTAACGTGGACCGTGGTGCTGTAAGTTGAGTTGCATCGTTCTGTAAACGACGACTTAGAATATACACGATAGTCATGTTCTATTTCATGTACTGCATTCTATATTTCACATTTATTATGAAATTCTGAAGTCACCATCACGTGCTGAGCAGTAGATCTTTGATGGAGCTTGGCAAGCAGAGGTTAAATTTTTTAGCCCACTCGCTTTCCCATCATCCAAGGCATAGTGGATCCGCCAGACATTGAGATGAGACCTTCATAGCCGATACCAAGATATACTCTCATTATTTTTAAAGCTTATTGAAGGATCGGTTCTCCTTAATAAGTAATAGATGAAGTCTCCAAAGACTTGTCAAACTCTACTGACACGGATGTAGTTGGGCTTCGTTCTTATTGTGATCAGCAGAACGGTGACATCATAATTCTTGGTCATGTTGATAGCAATCATCCTCTGTATATCAATTCAGATCCTGCTCTTTTAAGCATAAGCTTCCTCACCGAAGTCACAAAGAATGATGACGCCGACTTGCAGATGATCATATAGCACTAGGTTTTTCCGAGCAGATAGAAGAGACCTCGAGTTCAAAATTCGAGGTCAGAGTGATTGCAGCTGCAGTGGTCTCTCCATCGGTTTGGGGGTTTGGCCATTCATCAAAGTCGATTCGAGTTTATAGCAGCAGTTTTTCTGTCCAAAGCGAGATAATGTGACGTTGGTATATTGCCAATCTCTTGGTGATGAGCTCGAAGTGTGGCGTCTGCCTCCATATGAGATTCGAACAGTGAAGTTTAAGGGCAACTTCGAAACTTCTCTCGTCTACTTTTCTTTTTCGACACCAGGTCCAGTGTCAATATTTTGATGTGTACGATTAAATTTTCCTCATGACAACGATCAGAAAAATATCTTCGAAAATCTCTTTGATCACAACAAAGACCCTTTCTGGCTGTTGGAAAATGTGGGCTTAGCCTCTTCAGTCAGGAGGATAAGACTTGGATCGATTTTTTCCGATGGGAAGCCCTGCTGAAGAAACGTAATTTATTCTTCTCTTCTGCCTAATAGACTGTCTAGAATCTGCATCTGGTCTGCTTGTCTTGACCCGTGCAGTCATCAAATCTGTACACTGGAATCATCAGACACGACAGCACACAACTGCTATTTTTCAGCTAGAGTGGTGATGCATCCATATTTCATATTAGCACAAAGAATCTCGAGACACTTATCAGTAGGCATGGATGTTGTAACACGAAGTTCTTACAACTTACCAAATGTTATGTCCCAATCTTCAGAAGTACGTGAAAACATTATAAGATCTGACATGGCTCTAAATTACTACTGCTCTTGTTTCATCATCGTTTGCACCAACATACAAATGAACCACCAATTGGAAACAGGAGATAAATCGACATATAGTTCTGCTGTCGATTACATGTAACGACAGATCTGTGCGATCTGTCGTTACGTCCTTACGTCCTTACGTTACGACAGATCACACCTGAACTCACCATCAAAGTGTATCAAAGTATGATCAAAGTGTCCACTATATAGATGTGGTTCCGAGTCGGAGGCTGAGCTGCAATTACAACTAGAAACTGCCCGTCATTGTTTTCTTACATGTGTCAAGATTTACTCAGTTAATATATCTACCACAAGAATGAAGCACAAATCATCAAGCTACATGTCATGTGAACGTTTACTAGTCACAGAAATAATCGCGGGTTTAGCACCGAGCACCCTCTGCATAGACTAAGTTTCGATATTGATCTAAGATTTGAAGAGATTGCAGGTTTGATTTGTGCAAAAATTGGACTGCAATATTCGCCACATGCATAAAGTTATCACATCATTTTTCTTCCTTGAAATGATCTGAAGTTTTGTGATAACAAGATTTTAATCATATACGAATGAAGCAGATTAGTTTAAAATTCACACATATATTAAACTGATAATAGTGAAAATTCACAATCTCGAATATAAAAACTAATCTAAGCACATATTATCAACAATTAAAATTTAGAATATATTGCTAATATATTTACTTGAGCAAGAAACAAGCGTTACTTGCTCCAGTGATCTTTTGGATTCAATATCCAAGTCTGCACAACTCTCAAGTTTCTCGTGTACCTCATGAATGATAAAACGGAGTCACAGACGTCTCATAAATAAAATGGTCTGTATTCTGTAACAGACGAGACGTGTGTAACTCGGTTGCTGACACGGACCTGTGGAAAATTCTAGGTGTTGTGTGACTAGCACCAATGCTTTTTCTAGAATTCAACACTGTCAGTCTCTTCCTCTCCTCCAAATGATCACTACTCTCCATGTTTGCTTCTTCGCCTGAAGGACTAACATTCAGTGCTGTCTCGATATCTCGTCCGCTTCTGTCGCTTGGAAGGTCTGCAGGTTGATGTGAAGTTTCGTGGAGGACCTGAATATCCAGAATTTATATTTAATAGTACTCCAAGGAGGAGTGTCCAATTTGGAAATGCATGAACTACATTACCCTGCGAAATAAATCCTATGCATTGACCTGTCTGGTTCTCCAGATCCAACAGAGGTAACAACTGGAAGCTCCTGACCTTCCTGACAGCACCATATAAGACCCTTCATTCTTCTCTGGTACTGGAAGATTGAGAGCCCCGACAGACATCACAATCCTGATCAAGAGATGTTTCTGAACAAACCTGTGATTCATCCGAGTTTGGCACGATTTCCACCGAGTCTGACACGATTTCTTCCGCGTTTGACTCAATATCATCAGAGCAGCATACTCCGCGTTCGATTCTGCGAAGAAGAAATCCCATGGAACACCCAGATCGAGGTTGAGAATCTCTATGGCAAAGGGCATCAAATTTTGGCCCCAACCACTTCGACCACACTATAAATAAGACCATAAGCGCAACAACCGTAAATGCAAGATCTCGTCCAAGTTGATCATTTGTCATGATTGATTTGAAGTTGTTGTGAACTTTGCTTGGTTAACGAGTTCCAGCCATATACTGATTGCTCAACGATTCCTGAGTCTAGATGAAGTGCTCTAGTACTGCAGACATCTCTTGAAGACTGAGTTGAAGAGATGTCTTCAACTCAGTGCAGAATTGCAGGAGTCTGACCGACGATCACCATCTTGTCCCAACCTGGCAGAGAATATAATCTCCGCCTTCCAACGTGCTGTATCTGCGGAATTGAATCGAATAAAACGGAAACTTGGGAAACAGGGTGAAGCTCAGTGGAAGCAACGGAAACGCTGAGGTGGACCTGAGCTCTTATTAGAAATTCGAAATGGAGATTTTTTATCGTCATATCTGCAGGCAGTTAAATCCGATATTTCTTAGTCGTTCAGATATGCTCGTTGTTCTGGATGGACAAATGCTCCACTGGTAATCAGGTGTACGCAACGATGACCATCATATATATGAAATTTGCCTACATTCCGCCGTTGGATTCCTTCAATGGTCTTACAAAAATTGTGTCGACATCAATAGTTTGTACGTTCATCGTCTTTGTTCTCTTCTTTACGTACCTTCTCTTCAAAACTCACGTGTACGTTAATCATGTTTCGATATATCATTAATTATTTCTATATTTTCATCTGATTTAACTTTCATTTTGAAACTCTTTCAGTGGATACAAATATATTTTATTTGATTCTATTGGTTTGTTCTCCTATCTCACCCATACTTTGTTACAATAAATTAAAAATATATAATTTTTGGGTTGATTTTAATTTAATTATATTTGTTAAGTATTGAATAAATTTATTATTTGATGTTCTAGTTGAATGGTACTGCCGCAGCCATGGCGAACAAAGGTTGCATCATGGCGAACAAAACACGCAGTTTCAACAGAGCAAGCGATCTCAATCTGGAGTTCTCGAATATTGTATGGAATAATGAATCAGCTCTTAAATCTGAGAAAAATGTCTATTGAGTTGCCAATGATGCCTACAAGATCAAGAGTTGATGGTTAGTACTGTCCGACGTATGATCATGATTATATTTATATGTGGATTCTGTTTGAGAAGGGTAGCTGCAACTGGAAAGCATTATCTTGACCAGAAGATAAATAGACTACCTCAGACTCAATGATCTTCATTAGATTTGATAGATTTGAATTACTTTGTCTGAATTTCAAACTAGATGGATTACTTTCCGAATATTCTCAAATTGATCATGTCCCATCATATATACTCGATCAAGGTTTGTGTTCTTACTTGGATATATAGAAACTCAGACAATGGAAAGCCTAAGGACAGCCAAACACATGGCTGCCTATTTGGCTGCTCAGTAATGTCCTACCTGAACACAGCATAAGTACAGCGCATGAGTTTGCAATACCAACTAGAACATTTCATGTATGCATTGCAGTTGAGTTTTCGACAAGAACCAATTTTCATTCGAGACCTTCACGGCGATAACTGACATGAGCTGAAGTGTAGATAACAGATGTCGCTGGGCAAGATGAATCCAAAATAAATTAAGGAACACGACAGTCAAGTTGCTGCACTTCAGAGTGGCATCAGTCATCTGTCGATTCTTAGGGAAGGGAAATTGTGTCACTGCTTTATTTAGAATGTCCTGGCCATGCTTTAGCAAATATTCCAATGACCATGGCGACTGATATAGACTTATACCACGTAACCACATGAAACCATGTACGGTTTCTACTGAGATCCTGGCGGGCCCATGATGGTGGCAGTGGTGGCAACACGAAAAGAATTATGGCCAGATTGGCAAAAAAAAAAGGAAATTGTGAGACTCGGAGGAGTTTTTAAGGTTGAAACTATACCAGATTTCGTGGTTTCTAGACATTCAGCCACTACTGTGAACTCAACAAACAAGCTGCAATGGCTGTTGCTGTGTTTGACATGAGTGAGATATGCATGTGTCACGTCCATTGCCTTGCATGACCCATGTCCTATCATCAGTCCCCATTGATTCTAAGAGATTTTCTTCCATCAGGAAGATAATAGGGGTCATTCACGTGAATGGCAATTCCTGCTTACAGCCTTGTTGTAGAGTTCAATGTAGATCAGTCAAAGCAATTTTTTTTGATTTCTGAGATTAATCCTGTTGAAGATGTATTGCTACTCAACTGACTGACGACACAATAGCTAACGACGTTTTTGGACAATCAACTGAAGTGATATGCAAAACTCCTTGCTTATAATGTCAGGAGAGATTTGACTTGGATCTATTCCACTATAACTATCTCTTTACAAATAAATGTATCAATGCTGGAAACAATATTCAACATCCACGCGATTGTATCAATGAGTATTAAAAATTTGCTAGTTTTTCTAAATAGATAAATTCTTATTCTATGAAAATAAAGGATTTTGACTTTGGTATTTATTGGATATAAATAAAAAAATTTGAAATCGAAATTGTAGGTTTAGATACAACAATCATTATGTCACAATTAGATTCCTCTAAATTTTCTTAAAAATAGCATAAAAAATGCTACTGTATAGAGTTTTGGAAATATTCATTGTTTACATGTTGACAAAAATTTTTATTTTATAGTATACATGTAAACTGAAAAATTAGTATAACATGTGTATGATGTGAATGGCCTCTTCATAAAAATATATATTTATACATACAAAAATTAGAAAATATAGAAAATAGAATAATGCATTTATCTAGTTTTCAACGGTTAATATTGATGTAAAAGCTTCTAATTTATACTAGAATCAATTCAAATAAATTTACATTAACACATTAAAAATCTTGTGATGAAAAGGCATATATATATAAAATATCAAGACACAATTTCTCGATAAAATAACTTTCAATCTTGATAGACATCAAGAGATCAAGTCGTCATTAAAATTACTGATTTTTAGATGATTAAAAACTTTAAACTCAAAGTGATAGCGAATATAGTAAAAACATTGCAAGAAAAGTTAAAATAAAATTTGTTCAAATTTTTTTAAGAAAAATCAAATACTGTAAGTTGTAATTATCAGTTTACTGAAAATTATGCTATACATATACATAATTTCTATTGTTTCTTTGAATTTATAAACATTGCTTAACTTAAAATTTTCTTCGAAGAGCAGTCACATCATATTTCAAATAACACTATATTCATATGTATTTAATAATATAATATCGACTCCGTTCTCATGTGAGCTCATAGGTTATTTAAGATGTGTTAGCGACGTACGTGGAGTCAAGCAGGGAAAGTTATTATGAGGTGTAAAGAAGGCATTTTCTTTCCCAGTATTTGCCTATTTTTCTTTTAACGTGTGATGTACTTTTAGTAATTAAACATCCAAGCAGTTTCAGTAGTCCAATCGATGCTGAATACTAATTGTACTTTTTTAGCACATACAAAATCAAAAGGGTTACTTGTAAGCCTTCACTGAATGTTCCAATCATCTCACTTGCGCATGTCAATTTATGGCTGAGGATAGTAATATAGGATCTCGAATTTGTTCGTACAATATTCGTCATAATTCATGGAGTTGAATTACCAGACGTCATGAATAACGATACAACAAGGAGCTGTAAAGGACACGCCTTGGTGGTCTCACAGCACCGCTGGAAGGACAGAAGTGTAGACCTGGAAAGGACATCGTCTGGAAGATATGACGAGCCCCACCGTGAGTGCAATTCAGATTCGAAAGTTGAGTTGATATGATGAGAGTACTGAGCCAATGAGCATAAGCGTCTGGAAAGTTGTACAAAGTTCTTCTGCGTCATTTTGTCGTTGAGAGGTTTCGTCCTCTGGTTTCCTTTTTGGGCGCTGTGAACAGCTGGAGCGGCTCCCTTTTCAGGCCTTTTATTCCTCGTCTCACTTCCCAGATCTCGACAGAATACTTTCTTCCTACAGATATGCTGAAGCGATGAACACGAATGTTGCTTGCTTAAACTCCTCAGGACTTCGACGAGACATATCAGCACATGAGATGGTTGGTGTTCAAATTTACCTCGTCTCTCTTTGTGAAAGTAAATGAGAGAGAAAGAAAAATATATAGAGAGAGTCGAACACGAAGCAATTCAGCTCATACATGAATCCATGTTCACAACCAATGCCATGTACAAAACTGTTGTCATCTGATTGTTCTATGTCTCAGGCACTCATCGCTCTTCGCTTCCCTTCACGATGAACGCTCCTTCGTCCCGTCTACCATCTCTAGTTATTCTTGCGAAAATATGATGTCTCTTCATTTACTTGATATCGAGCTCGAAACACGCAGGTTCCCAGCTTCACGCCGGTCCATTTTTCCATTTCGTACTCGCCCGTATGTGCTTATGGTAGAAGACTCAGGCTACGATATTTGTACAACAGACTCAAATGCACTCTCGATTCAACGATTTGTAGTTCGAATTCTTGCTGACGTCTTCCTGTGTCTTATCAGGTAGACAGTTTGGCTTTTGATAGAGAGGCTGAGGAAGTTCAAACTACATCCTAATTCCGCAAACAGAAATACTCATGGATCCATGGAGTTGCACAAATCTGGTATCTTTGAAATGGAGATATAATATTGTAGCTCTATCGATCTAGCGAATAAAGGTGATGAAGGAGACGAGGAGGCATGAGGAGCATGCCAAAAGTATTGGAATAGGAGATTTGCTGTCGGATGAGGAAGGTAGCACGGGTTTGAAACTTTCATTCGATGTTTAGTGGCAAGATATTCTCAGTCTACTTATTGAGATTTGGTACTTTTTTTCTGGAAGTATAGGCTCATGTTAGATGTTTTATCTGCTGGTTTGATCTCTTTGTCGTTGATGTACACAGATACCTCGGAATCCTAATATCCAATTCCGTCAGATGAAAGCGAGGCCGTCATCGAGCCTATTCCAGAATTAAATGATGGCGATGGCCCACAGCAGTCTGCAGGTCCAACTGTATTATAGGTTAATTCCCTGTCGGCTAATTATTCTGCATTGTTTTTCTATCAACTCTATTTGTTTCAGATAGATTCATGTTATCAATGTAGCGGCAAAATATGTTCATTTTGAACACTTACCTTATTACTAATCATGCAAGAAGACGAGAACAAGGTGCCTCTAACTTAATCATCCGGAGGAACTGATGGGTTTTCCTGAGTCTCTAAGAATGTCCCTGCCATCTCAATGCTTGTAAAGTATCCAAGAAGAAACACGTTTCTTCAGAACATGAAGCTTCTGACAGCATGTACTGAAACCTTCACAACATTCTCGAACCTAGACACAGTTTATAGCAGTAAGTATTAAGCTTCTGAATCTGAATCCTTGTCAGCTGGACATCGATCGGCAGCTGGCATAATTACATATCCACGTTCAGATGTTTTTTTTGAAAATCTCAACGCTAAATATTTAGCTGAGAAACTTCGACAGGACGTGCTGATTTTTTCCCAGCTCTATTACGACTGGATAAAACGTCACCATCCTAACCACAGCAGCACAGCTGCCGTGGTTAGGATGGTTAGCACAGATCGTGTAGAATTGTGAAGAGTGTTACCAACGCTGATAGGAGATGTAAGATTGAGATCATTAGGCCTCACGAGTGGACAAAGTGTAGAGGAAAGTCTAAGAATACAAGGTCGATATCAGGGAATTGCTGGATGATGATCTATTATTGGACCCTGAGGCTAAACATTATGGAGCAAATCTGAACTTACCTTATCAAACATCCAAAGTTTCTCATGGACTGCGTACTTTTGACAAACCCTAGGGAATTGCCCCAGCATACCTGAGGTTACTGGGACATATATACGGAAGATTTGAGCACCCAAAATGTGACTATGAACATTAACACACTCCTCTCGGACTCAGCGTTTAGAGACTGTGATTAAAAACATGTCCATTTCCTTGGCCGTTTCATCAGAGGGCGACAGAAGTACACAAAGACTTACATTAGGCCATTGAACAGACCAGTTTATAAGTTGAGAAGTAATGATTGATGCATTTCTATACTTTCTGAACAAGTATAGACAAACCATCTGCTGAACTGAAAGCGAAGTCAAAGGTCAGGTGCTGCTACATTTGAGCTTTATCAGATGCACTTGGTGAGGCACCTACGCATCGGAGATCATCCTCTCCATCTACGGAAACGAACGTCTTCGCACCTATTGCAACCTGCAATTATTAGATCCTGCTTGAGTCCAAAACTCCCGTGAGAACATACGCTCACTTTTTCATCCATGATCAGATAAGTACACGTCCTTATTGTTTTCAAGATTCCCCTGTTCCTCTCTATTCCGGGCTGTAGAATTCTATCTACGTCATGGCAGGTACTTGAAGCCATCATTCGTGTTTACAACATTCTGGAATAGTTTGAAGCTTCTGACACCGAAAAGATATGATATACTCAGGCGTACATCTTGTCGTCAATAGAAAATCCAGAATGCAAAGCAAGAGCTCAAGGACGAACATGTGAACGGAATGCTACGAAGAAGCAAACACTTGAGCTAATAGATCTTGCCATTCGAAGGTTATAATATCTGAGTCCAAGTACAGCTCTCGTGGGAGGATATTAGCGTGCTACGTGTACAGTGTTTGTCAAGGTGCAGTTTAATTGCGACCGTTTGATGCGTTTATGGAGCTCCAATTCTCCATCCACTGATAGGTCCTCACAAGGGACAAGGAAATTGAAAGCATATAGACAAAATCAAGCATCCCGGATCCGATATATCCTGGGAATCTAATCTGGGCATTTCGTCAGTGTCTTCAGAATCCATTCATCGGCTCTGCATGTGGACATTCATTCAAATGTATTAGTAAGTGATACCACTCTGACCTTCGGCTACCTACAGGGTATGTTCCTCTCAAACGTGTCCTGAATTTCCCATGATATTTCTCAGCCGCGTTCATCTGGATTTTCTTCCTCCCTCCCTCCCTCCCTCGCACATGTCTGAACAGTCTGAACAGAGCATGACATTCTGGCCATGAATATTCCCATTGCGTCAATCCATGCTATGCTGATTCAGAACATGGGCTGGCTGATTGTATCTGGAATGGAGAAGTGTATTAGCTATCGACCGATTAACGTACAAATACGTGTATCCATTCTATCAGAGAGAGCTGATGAAGACTCTTCCTGCCTCTCTTCTCTGCAGGATCATTCTCAAGCAGCTCAATACTTTCGTACAGATTCGGTCTTTTTGTACCTGGCAACTCCGATAACTCGAATCTCTACTCATGGAGTTCTTAACACCTCCCTAACGTCAAAGAAGTACAGTGTTATCTGGTGGTCGTGTATGGAGTTCCAGAGGGCTCATTGTAGTACGTTTTGCCTTTCGGTTAATTGGTCTCCGAGGTTACTGAGGTTAGTACATTCAACGGAGATTTGAGCAAGTGCAGACACAGCGGTTTGTGTTTTGTGTGTGAGGCTAGTTCGGCGTCAGCCTGCGAGCCATGCATGCAGTCCCGGCCAAAGAAGTCAAACACTAAAATACAGATGGAAGGGAAGGAGCAGGAACAGATGTTCATGATGAAGTAGTGCTAGATATTCACCTCTCCTAAACGCTTTCACACGCCTCACACTACTGCTACAGTTGTGGACACTGAATACAGTGCATGGCACTCGGGCAACAGCGATCGGATCGTTGATTGGACATGGCAGATCCAGCTGCTGCTCCCGTATTTTCCCTTGTGGAGAGGGGACGTTGTAGAGTGCGACCAAGTGACCGAGTATGCGACTAAATTTCAGCTCTCGTGAGAACGTTGGTCAGAGAGAGAGAGAGAGAGAGAGAGAGAGCTGGCAGTCTGGAAAAGGACTACAAACGGACTGGCAGAAATCCTTTGTGAGTCTCAAGTCCAGACGGTCGTGCACCATCGTGTCCTGACACACACGAGATAGGACTCCGTCAAATTCCCACCCACTTCCCCAGAACAACACATAGCATGACATTGTAGAAACTTTGCGGGTCGAGGGAACATGCAAGGTCACGTCTTTAGCACAATTAAGGCACAAGGTACTAGTAACTAGCAAGCTGTCACACCCGTCATCTGATCCATCTGATACTGAACTACCCAGGCACACGTACAAGATACAAGAGCGAGCAAGCAAGCTATTCTCAGATCCTCCACTGGAAAACTCGCAGCATCGTGTGACAGCGCATCAAACCTTGGTCGTTAGAACCGTCTCCCATCTGAGAGGAAAAAGCTTCGCCAGACAACCGCAGTGCACCACACATAAATGCTTGCCTGAATTTCATAAGAGCATATTAATGCAGCAAAATAGATCGCAGTGAAGACTCACATCAGTGTATCAGAGGGACTGAATAAGAACGCCCTAAAGATGCACAATTTACGAGTTGATTGACAGTGACCTTTGATAATATGGGGTTGATGATGATACCAATTTAACACAAGACAGTCCGCGCTAGTGTCCAAGGAAGACGGACAGCAAATTTCCCACACCTTCTGACAATCCACGAAAAGGATATCGACCATTCGAGTGGTTTGGCGCCCGATTGTAGCGACAAGTGCTCTCGACCAAGAGTGCACCAACATTGGGACTCATATTTACAGCAGACACAGGTATCCACTCCAAAGCTTACACGCGAATTCCTATATGCCTGGATATCATGTGGAGTGTTCAGATTGCCTGAGAAGCACAAGATGTCAATATTCATCCGCAGCCAAAATTACGGATAGAGTCGCAACATCAAGCATCATCAATCCATGCCTTCATAGGAAATCCATTTCCGCACCCATGCGCAGTGTTGATTCCAGTGGGCAATCGATTGCATCGCTATGAAGGCAAGGTGAAATTGAGTATCAACAGAAAAGGAAACAAGACGCATGGGAGAGTGGACTTCAAATACGCTGTGATTGAACGTCTTCCCGCTCAATAGGGAAGATGAGAACTAAATGTTTTTCTTTATAATATGTACTATGGACTTTGCTTTTCGTCCATTTCCGTTTCCTTGTGAAGCTTTACATTCCGATCCACTGACCGACTGACACTGTAAGTATGAATTCCCTACATCTATCCCCACCAGTCTTACTTCATAGTACAAGCCATCGATCGATCAAGCGAGCGAGCGATCGACCTCCAGTCCAAAGAAGACCTCTAAATTATGGGGCTGTGAAGGTCTGAGTGAGCCTGATGTTTCGATCTCTAACTTGGTTGAAACGATCCTCTAAACGCTGCACTTGGGGAGCTGAATCCCAATCGACTTGAAGCTCGGCTATGAGGGAACCGTTGTTTTCATAAGCAAGGATGAATGCTTCCACGGTCTCCAGGTCCATGTAAGTGAGTCTGAGCTCTTGAAGATTGGGCAGTTGGCCAGGCTCGAGGACGCTCTTGGCCAGATCTATGGCGGTTTGTTTCTCAATGTGCTCGAAGTGGACTTTCTCCAAAGACCTTACGTGTCCCGACGAGAAGCACCTAACGATGGCCTTGGTTCCATCGTCGTCGAAGTCTAAGATTCCTAAATCCGTCAAGGCCGGAAGATTGCCCGATTCCAGAGCTCGGGCCAGCGCCGTGGCGCCCTTCGCCTCTATGTCATTCATCCACAGCCCCAGAGTGTCGAGGCCTCGCACCTTGCCAGAAGCAAAAGCTCTCGACAGAGCTTCCGCCCCTTCGTCTCCGATGCAATTCCTGCTCAGCTCGAGCTCTAGGAGGCGAGGCACTCTGCCTGATTCTAAAGCAAGCGCCAAATGCTTGGCCCCTTCTGGACCGATGTGGTTGTAGCGGAGGTTGAGGTGCTTGAGGGATGCCACCGAGCCACCGGCGAGGACGAGCGAGAGGACCCTGATTCCCTCGTCGCAAATGTCATTCTCCACGAGATGAAGCTGCTCCAGGGAGAGGAAATTGAAGCCCGTGCTCAGCGCCCGGGACAATGCCTTGACGCCGACCTGGTCGCAGTCGTCGAACTGAATCTCCGACACATTGAGGAACTTGAGACTCGGGAGGTGGCCCATGTCAATCGCGTCGGCTAGCGATTCCATCTCCTCCTCCGATCCCACCTGCATGCCGAGCTCCAGAATCTCCAGCTTCGCCAAGGGCCCTATTTGCAGCGCCATGCCCAGCGTGAACACATTTATGCTTTCTTTGTTCGTGAAATCCAACACCGGGAAGTGCACCAGGTGCTGGTACAAATCCTGATAAAGCTCCTCCAGATCGTCGTCGTCCTCGTCCGACTCGTAGTTCACTTGCAAAATCCGGTTAATCTCTTTCATTCTGTCCTCCAGAGTTATCACGTTCCTTCCTCGACCCCGACCTCCTCCTCCTCCTTCTCCTCCTGTTCCTCCTCCATCTCCATCACCCCCAGCCCTCTTGCGTTTCCTCAGGCGCTCCTCCTCCGATCTCGCTTTGGCCAGAGCCTCGATCTCTTCCTTGAATCCTGACGCCAGCACATCAGACAGAAGTCTGCCCATCTTTCCACAATCTCGGCTTCAGAATGGAGTTCGTTGAGATCCACAGCGAGGGAGTCTTCGTGACTCGGTCGATCAATCGAGAGGTGGAGTATACAGGTTGCGAACAACACCACCCACCGATCGATCGATGTACTAACCTGCGTATGGCGAAATCCCAGAATTCAGTCGAGACGCGTGGGGGATTTCTACTTCGAATTCGTACCCAGAATTCAAATCGCCTGCCAGTCTGCTGCCTGTCCCGCTTTCCACGGCGAGGGAATTGCTTGCTTGCGATGGCCAGCTAGCTAACGCGCGCGGTGGCGCCAGGGATGCCTGGCGAGCTGGACCAACTCTAGGCTCGGGAGCAGCGATCGACGAGGGTCGAAGAAGGGCTTGAAGCGCGTGAGGATGCGACCGTACAAAGGAACGTCGTCACAAGCGTGACAGGTCCCGTTTTGAAGATTTAACATTGATCGACTCAGAAGGAAATTCCGCGACCACGAGGACGAGGACGACGATGACGATGCGCAACGAGTCGATGTGGGAAGATATCGCCGACGATGGCGAAAGCAGCGCAAAGCCTCCGCCAGCCCACTCTCACTGACACTCGCACTCGCACTCGTTCTCGCACGCGCTAGCACCAGCGCCGGCGTAGACGACTCACTTACCAAGCCGTCGCAGACGACCACCGCCGACGAAACACGCCTCGGGCATGCGAATCGAATCCGCCCTATGGATAGTAAGCGCATAGCAGCGATCTCGGCACCAGCGGGCTCACCAGCGAACGCCTCGTCGGTGAGCAGAAGGTTTACGGAAGCATCGTCCCATCTCTAGTACTCATCACCTCCCTCCCTCCCTCCGCACCAACCAACCCTCCCCGACCCGCCCCAATCGCGCACCGGCTTATGGATCGACGGGACCCCCAGCGAGGGCCAGCAGCAGCAGCAGAAGCAGAAGAAGACGACGAGGAAGGGAGGGGGACGACGGGGGGTATCAATCAATCACTCGATCGATCGATCCGGGCAAGTGGAGTGCGAAGGCGAGCACAGGGCGATTCCTAGAGTCCGTGCCCGGGGAAAGGCCGGGGGCCGGGGCCCATGACCGGGGGCTGAGGCCGGGCCCGAGGACGGGGACGGGGCCAGAGCTAGCCGATGAGCCGCGGGCGGAAGACGACAAGGAGAACATGTGTGACACGGGCGTGTCCTGTGCGGGGACGATTACACAGGAGAAACGGATGTCGACCGGGAGTGGAAGAGAACTCCCGCGGCGGGGCCCGCCACGGCGGGGCGCCTGGCCCTACGATTCGCGGCCTAGACTAGAGCAAGGCGAGCGTGGACGCTCGGGCCCTGCCTCGCGGCCCCGAGCGCCCCGACGCATGCCGCATGTACCGACTCGACCCGTCGCCCTAGCCCTCGTGCCGGTCCTCCCGGTCTCGGTCCCGGCCCGCACCTCCCGTCGTTCCAAAAGGCGGCGGAATATTCCTCTTCGGTGGAAGAGCTTGCGCCTCCTCTGCTCTATCCGAAGAGGGGCCCTTGGGACGGGGACGGTGAGGGGAAGGGAGGGGGAGGAAGAGGAGGAGGAGGATGCCAATCGAGAGACGACTGGTGCTCAGTCGGGACTCGGTGCTCGGGATTCGGATTCGGGTGCTAGCTTCATCGCTGGCCGGCTGGCTTGCTTGTTCGTTCGATTGATCGATCGATTCATTGCTGGCTGGGATTAGCATGCTGGGTAATCATGATTCCACGGGCGGACGATATAAAAGCAAGGCATCGGCGAAAAAGTCACCGGGCGAATGATTACAAACGCTTGATGCTCTGTGCTCTGGAATTAGGGGCAGCGGCAACTTTAGCTAGGGAAAAGAGAAATTTAATGCATCATGCCCACCATGACACCGCGTTGCATTACGCCTCGTCTCCCTCCCCCACCAGGATTATCCTCACCTCTGTATTATTTGTTCTTGTCTCGGCCTTCCCTCTCTCTCTCTCTCTCATCTCGTCCATCATGATAAGATTCATTACTCCCAGCTCCATATCCACAGAGGGCGTCGTTTGCCTCCCCTTTCCGAGTCATGCCTCGAGGCTCCCGGATTCCGGACCCTTTTCTCAATCATAAAGAGAATCCCCCACCCCATCGCTGCTTCACTCGTTCCTCTGCCCTGGCCTGCCCAGCTGCGCTCCATGCCCAGGCCAATGGCATCCCCCTGGACGTCCAGTAGCCAGCTAGTTTCCCAAGACCGTGACAAAGGCGCAATTCATGGTGGGCGGAGCTGGGCTGGGCATTGTGGCCCGCCCCGCCCCTTCATCAGTTATGGCCAAAGCGATTTGCAAAAGTGGCCAATGGATTGCTATTTCGTGAATTCTGGGTCGTTGTGACGGAGCCTGCGACTCGTGGAAGACCGAGCGAGGCTGGGGTCGCGGAGTGGCAGTGGCAAGGTAGACTCGTTGGAGGCATGATGTAGCTGGCTGGCTACTGCAGTCAAGGAATTTGTACATGCAATCCTGCCTGGTTGCTGCTGCTGCTACTGCTGCAGGTGCTGCTGCTGCTCGCACTGAAGATTCTCAGGAGCATTGGAGGTGCATCGAGGGGAGAATTTGGAAATACATGGCGCTCACTGGAGCGGGGGGAGGGGGAATCATATTTTTTAAGCCGGGGGAGAGACCCGGTCGTCGTCCAAGGATGGGGCACTGGTCATGCGTCGAGGATTTGTGATGTCATCAGTGTGGTCAGCGCGTCGACGATCCCGTCACATGCCAAAGTTTGATTGCTGGAGATTTGGGAACGAATTTCAAGATGAATCTGATGATCAAGATAAGAAGAAACCCCGCACCCTAAGGGCACCGGATCCGCTCCAGCACACTTCCTCCGTCCTCCTTGCAGCCCGATCCCTGTCCCTCCTGGCCTTGAGACTGCCAGATGAATCTGGAAGCGTTCATGTTGACAACTTGTCGACGATTTTCCTTCGGAATAGGCACAATCCCTATGAGCAGGACTTGTTCCTCCGATGCGGCCTTCTATCATGACCATGTAATGCAATTTTCAAACACCAGAACATTCCACCTTCTGACCGTAATTTTTTGGACTTTTCTCGATAAGGGTGATTTAAACTAATGGAAAATGAACTGGATGGAATGGAATGGAATAGAATAGAAAGGAATCGAATGGAGTCGAATCAATGTATCATCAGTTTGAAAAACTACCGAATCTTCATTTTTCATAAAATTGCAATTGGATACATGGAAGAGGCCAGGGCCTAAGAGAAATTGTATATCGTATTGATCTACAGTTCCATCGGACCATACATTAGGAACTGAGAGGACCAATGTCTCCAGAATGATGAACCGAAATCCTCCAAGCATAGCGAGGGAGGATAGAGAGAGAGATAGAGCGAGAGCGAATGTGTATAGGCCACTACCATGTCAACTACTACGTCGACAATGATTGTAACATTCCCGAGACGCAGTCACTGAGTGATAGCCAGCAACTGAATCCGTTGCTTTGACAATCCTGTTGCTGTCAAAGTCGGTTTCAACTGCCTCCACTTGCATCTGCCAAAGCTGTTCTTTCACTTCTCGTTCGGAAGTTATCAAAAACCTCACGATTGCTGCTGCTGCGAGGGCGACGACAAGCAGGGTGGGCGGCCAGAGTGGGTGTAATGCTGCTTGATGTACACTTTGCTTCGACTGGAAGACATGGCTAGGATCGGGAGCAGCCTCTATTCTATGATATATTCATACCATTTTACTGTACACCCTTTGGACAGTCCTTATTATTTGGGGAAACAAGACGACTTGCTACTGCGTTTGCCTCTTTATCCACACCCACCTACTGCGTAAACCGAACGCCCAAGTCAACGCCTCAGCTGAGTCCTTGGGAAAGGAATTTCCAATTTGAAACTCTGACCTCAGGACCACGAGAAGTCTTAAAAGTGACCCTCCACCTGCACCTGAGTGATCTATTTCGATCATGTGAGCACACCACCGAAACTAGCGCTAATATCTCAAGTCCATATGGGAAATATAAATTAAGAGGAATGCGATAAAGTTTTGTCAGATTACTGGGCATGAAAATCTGATGCTGCTAAGTGAGGCAAATTTTATCCAGCCCAGTGGTTTGGGATGCTGATGCATAATTATAAATAGTTTCTTATTTGTGCAGCATTTGTAACTGTATGGGAGATGCTGATTCCATGACGGTATGGCATATAGACAGCCCTGGCAGGTTCTACCGATCCGGTCGAAGTACTTTTTCCTACCATAGGTCCGAATGATGTGAGATTGCAGATCTATGTGACTGAATCGATAATGTTAAGCTATGAGCTAAGAAACATCGCCTACGTGCGGACAAATCATAACCAAATCTATGGCTTCGAATGTGCATACAGCTTCGTATGGACTTTGGACTCTTTGCTGCAAAGGATAAGCATGTTCATGTGGAGGTCAGGACTGCTGTCAGAGACTAATCATTTACATGTGCGGAGAGTTAGCAGATCTCGAGGTTTCAGTGATTTCGTTTAGTCCTGTCCGCTGGCAGAGAAACATATCGGCCCAGAATGATCATTGCACCTCTTCATGGTGCGCTGGTTGAGTGATGTCCATCGCTGAGATCGTTGCTGCTGGCTAGAGCAGATGCAGGATGGAAGAAAGAGGATTACAGGAAGAAGAGAGCCTGTACCGTTGTCGCCAAGCTGCTGGATTCACAGACGATGAGACCGAGTGGACCGTAATCTCAGCAATGTGAGGCGTCGAAAGTGGTGCAAATCTGTGGTACTTAACGTAACCGAGTTTCAATGTAACACCAGAAGAAAAGCGATTGCAAGCTCATATCTAGCTGATTGACTGACAGGAATAGCTTACATGAACTTACAGTAGAGCAGATTGAGCAACTGCTCCGAAGCTTTACAGTAGTCAACCCCTTTACTTCCAGCAGATTTGATCTTTTCTGGCATGCGACCTTCACGTCAGACTAGTTTTTCTTCCATGCAATGTTAGTAAATCTGATTCATTTCCGAAAGCACTGGAGGACAGATTGTACACGGTAGGCAGAGTGGACTAGCTCTGAAAGGTGTCAAAAAATCCGTAGATTATTGGGGATTGCCGTGTCCGACGACGCGTAGTGGAACATGGAACTGCCTTTAGTCTATAGCTGGCGACGATCATGGACTGAGAACATATCTGTTGGCGCTCTGGGCGCAAAGTTTGCGCACAAGCGGGCTAACGTTCTGCCCACACACAAAGCAGAGATCGGTGGGTGAAACGATCAGATTAAGATTTGCTCCCGCCACGATTTTCAATCTTCCATGAGTTCTTCTGACTTCGGACTGGTAGTTGTTCTTTCCGCAGCGGATCGTGTAGTATGTGGAATTTGTTCATCATGCATAATTAACAGTAGGACTATAAATAGCTGGGGAGTTAAAGCAACGAGATGTTCATCATCAGCATCATCATTCCTCGGTCCTCATCTGTACTTAGGGTACTTAGCTGAGGCAGCGCAAATAATGGTGGGCGAAAGTAGCCTGTCAGAAGAATGCAGGCGCTATATACTGCTTCTATTATCGCCATGATTGAGCTACGATTCCCATCTGGCGCTAGAAAGATGCTTCTTATACCCAGTACTGTGATAAAATCATGGACATCTCCAGTCTGATGGAGCAGAAAGCGAGATGGTGTCGGTCGTGCACGATAACAGACCTCAAACTGTCCCTGTCATGAATTAACAGACAGCCAGCCAGCAGTTCACCATCTTCAACTTGGAAAGAATGTTTTACCAGAATACTGTAATCACATACTGTAAACTTACCGTACTGGACCTGCGGGTTGACTTGGTAGTTGTCGGTGGAATACCAAGTCATGTGATGTCACATGCGATGCAACATTCGAATCATATGTTTTTCACTGCAAAGTCAACCAGAATTAGTTGTTGAAGCGGAGGTCCACTTGAATCAGCGGCCTTCCTGTGTGCTGGAGGTTATGGCTGCGATGTCTGTCACCGTAAACCAACCAGCCCACGGAGTAAGAAAGGGAACGAGAGGAATACTTGGCGAAAGGTAGTCGTGTATAGTCCAGTGCTGTACCCTGCTCTTGCCAAAAATCAATTCAATTGTTTCTCTAGTTTGGCGGAAGGCAATCGGTATCACACCTCTTATTCAACATCAGATTGTCCAAAGCTATATTTTCCTGAACCCCTGCGGTTACTGAATTCGCCTCTACATTTGGGCTGCAGTGAGCTTTCAGCGAAGGCTTCGGTGCAGATTGTAGAACATATTCAGTCGGAGAGGAATTCAGCACAGATTCGAAGCTCGAATCATTCGCCGCATAATCGTGTAAAATCCAGCAACGAGGTTGCTTTTATTTTCCAGACTTGTAGCAACATTAAGCTCGGAAGGGTGCAGGAAGGTGATCGGAAACCTGGCTCGGCATTCGTTAGATCTTGATCCTTGGAATCTCGTGGCCAGCAACTGTCATCTACACCTTGTACACCTGACTGGGATTACTTTCCTTTCCACGAATATCCGAGTCAACGAGATCTGCCTTTTTTGAGTCCCTGACCTAAATTCGTTTCTCGGCACAGAGTGGGTGAGCAGGAGATCGATAGCAGGTTCACCAAGTGTGCGATCAAAACCCTATTTTCTTCGCCACGCCCCCGGAAATGTACAATCGATTTGCTTTCAGCTTGCAAATGTGTCCATGCCCTCCGTGGCTGGGCTGTAGGAGATGTATGGCTGGATTGAAAGCCCTGCACCATTAAACAGCACACAACGCTGTGTGATAGAACGTCATGATCACCGCTCAGTGGAAAGGAGAAAAAGGGTTCGGTCTAATTCATTGACAGCGAATAAAAGATCTCACAACCCATCCCCCTTGAGTGAACTCAATGAACAAAATTTTGACAGAAGTCAAAACTGATTCTCGCGTCTCAGTTAACGTAGGATTCACTGCTTGAATTTTAAAAGGTCTAAGCTTTCGACGATTGAAATCCTCAAGTACGCCATTTTAAAGCCCATATGTACACGACGCAACGCTTCCGCCTGAACCTACAAGCCTACGACTAGGAATGTTCAATCCTCACCGGATCGACATCAAAGTCATGGCCCTAATTTCCTCACTAATCCCATTGGCCCTGCGGGTAATATGCTAAAACTTTGTCCAATCCTTTAGGTGTCATGATTGTTTTGCGATTTTTAGTGATAGTCCTGCGGTGATTGATTCTCAGGAAAAGGCAAGATCCATATGGACTCGCTATTTGCCCGCATAAGTTTCGGGGACATGCTTCGTAATGATTACACATGTCTGACTCGATTCTTCTTTGATTACAAGTTGATCTTTCTGGAGTGCTTTACGATTGAGACAAAAGATGCTACGACCTTGGTTTTGGATCTGTCTCTCTTTCTCGATCACTTTTTGTTTCGGGTCCTTCCGATCCACCAGGGAGCTTTATTCTTCTCTATTCAATCACGTCCATGTGACCACGCTGATTGCAATCAAAAATTTCTTCTTAAATGCCGAATGTCCACCTTCCTCCTGACAGTCATGACGGGCCATGTTCTGCTGAAATCCCGAGTCCTTTTATGGCCAGGATCTGGGAAGAGGCCAGCCTACTTTGGTCCTCATGCTTGACCCTATTCTTGACGTGGACCATCAGTTTCTGGAGGTTTTCGCAAACACGGCCGAGCAAATTAGATCCATGTTGCTGAAGTCAGTGTCATTAATATTCTGTCTATACATAGAGCAGAAAGTCAGATCACAATCGCATCTGCATCTCCCATCAAATTTTTGCGTGTTTTACATGATCATCTAAGGGAGTTCAGTGGAAGATGTGCGCTAATTCTTATAGGTCTACGACGCAAAGACCCATTCGCCCGATCCCTATTGTTTCGTGCGTACATATATGGTCGAAACTGGTGATGTTTCTCACGGAGTGCAGCATTGCTTAATGTTTGAATCAGCTGATGAAGGAGCATGAAAATTTGCCAAAATGCCCGCACCAAGTGGACTAAGCTGCTTGTTGTCATCTGCACCTCATATATAGTCTCACATGATGTTCTGCTGCTGCAGCGTGTGAGACTTCCCGAGATTTCATAATAGCGACTGTCCAATATGAGAACATAGCCCAACATCCACAGGTCCAGGTCCACGATATCGCGGTTGCAGGAGACAGTGAATCGCACGTTTACTCTTTCCAATAAGTCAGCAAGTAACTCTTGAACTGCGTTGTTTATTCATCTGGATTCCATTTCCCGATGATCATTCTGTCCACCTAGAACTGAACATCAGAAATTGGCACGTCAATTTTACAATGACGCCATCACAGAAATCTCGAATTCCACAACACTCTACGAACTTTGTGCTGATTGGATATCAATTTCATAGATACAATTCACCAACAGTCAGCAACAGTTCAACAATAAGGCAGACTTTGTGGGAATCTCTGCCTTTGAGTATGGCACAGGCCTCTTCCGGTTCAATTTGTGCGGCGCACGAAATTCTAAGGCGTTGCTTGAGATGACACTTGTGCCTTCTCCTCGAAGCTTCTGGACGCGTAGGATAGCAGGGCCCCCAATTCACTTTCTCGTTTCTAGACGCTGAGTAAGTCTAGAATTAAATTCTGATTACAGACTTGATTATGGTCGGTACCACAAGTTAAGTCTGCAATGAAGAAATGTCTCAGTCGGGAAGGGCAATGGGCAGAAGTAGTCCTCCCATTTGAAACCATGCAAATCTTGTATGCGGACAAAACGATGATGTCAGCTTACTGTTCCCCTCGCATGCCTCTCAAATATATATCCCTTTGGTTCTCGCAATTTTTCCTTTTGTCTCGAGCAAATCCAAATTACCGATGTAAAGAAAACCATCTCAATTTCACACATTCCCACAACGATGAGCTTTATTGATGCAGCCAGTCATCAACTTGACTCAGTACTTTCAACAAGTTTGAGTTTGACAAATTCAAGGCCTAAGTGCAGAGCTCATCTGATGTTCTGTCATGGCACAGAAGAATGAGTCCAGATTCAGGGAGGACTGACGAGCTTATGGTAGATCTTGTACCAGAGGAGGCGATATCTAAGAACTGACCCACGCGTCAGAGTGGCTACACAAATCCCAATTCATATTGGAAAGCAAAGACAGAAGGATTTCTTATGTTACGGTAGCATGTGTTCGACGCTCCCTGACCAAGAAGTCAACACGACAACTGGCCACGGGCTTTTGACGATTTGGCACAAAGACTCATCGACAGACTGGTTCAATTTGCAAGACTGGAAGGGACTGGAACTTGAGTACTTGCATGCCTCAGGAGAGCCTGGCAGAGCAGGATCTGTTCTACTGCACAAGTTTCCAAGAGAAGACAGATGCCGTGATTTGCTCGATTTTTGCTCCGCAGCACGAAGCAGTAGACCTTTTTTCCTTGTAGGTGACCTGTCTTGAGAATGCATTCCCATTGTGTCATGGATTCTTCAGGTCTACCTTGGTTACATGCAGAGACCGAACAAGACTATAATCAAGCAGTAAAGTTTGTAGACAGAGTCAATGAGCCGCACAAATCAAACATCAGGGACACAGCTAAGTAGCTGACACTCCTCTGAAGCGACGGACCGATCACATTCTTATGGGTTTAGGTGACTGATCCTCACGAGGTCCATCGGTTTCGTGTAGCCCCAAACAGACATTACAAGCGAGCAGTCACCGAAGTGCTCCGATTACAACTATTATTTCCCATTTAATACATTTAACATTAAAAAGTCATGGACAATCAGCTCAAAAGAGTAACGTCATCTTCGGTATAGTACAAGAATTTCACCGAAATATACACCACATGACCAAAGTTCTGATTCTAGTTTTATACATCACGTCGAGGAATTCAAAGCCCAGTCGACGTTCTTAATTATATTCTGCGATCAGTTTTCTTATCGACATGACATCGGATCATCTGAAGTGATGAAGGAGTAAAATTCTGAAAGTGAATCAGAAGCGCCAGAAGGGGACTCTTCACCGTTTACTGTTCATGCCTGACACACCTAATCCACTTCACACTATTTTTTCTGAGCCTAATTTGAGTGAAGATCATCTCCTTCTTATCTTCTCCTTATATCATTGTCTGCAGGGTAAGATAACGTATCAGGTCGCAGTTCCAAGCTTCAGTTTTGTGTTTGTCGGAGTGCCAAAATCGTCCGAAAAGGAGATTCAGGTCCTTGTGAAGCTTTAGGTGATTTCACGTAGGGTTGGTAGAGCCCTCCATCATATTCCTAGACCTCAGGATTAGGAATCTGTTCTTGACAGGATGAAGATCGACACGAACAGATAAAGGCTCGTGATGGTTTTGTTATCGTGAGTTTCACCTCGTCAATCATTCAAGCTGAACCTTTTTTAAGGGATGAAAATCTGAGGGATGGCTGCTCTGTAAGTTGGCATATAGCCTTCATTCAGCTTACGTCTGTCATACTTAAGGCACATAGAGTGTCAGGATGTTCCCGTTTGGTGAAAGCACATCCTGTGGGTAAGTATATGGCTGCTCATCTGCCTGATGTCATTTTGCGTTCTTCTGTACGCGAGTTATGAGTTCTGATTCAAACAGCGTTTGGTTGAACTCTCAACTTTGAACTGGTTATACCGAATGATCATAGTTTGCCAGTAATCAATGGCTTATGCTTGGCTCCATAAGGATAGCTGAATGTTTCACAATTCGTTAAAGGAATGTTCGAAATCAGTCCTCCTGATTCTCCTCATGCTCCTTGGCGACTCTTTGAGTCGTCCTAGTGACGTTTCCGGTGAAGCCAGGAAATTTCTTCGCAGAAGTACAATTCTTATCTTGAATTTGCATTGGGAAGAGGCTTTCTCTGCGTCTGTGACTATATCCATATCTTAGCAGTCAGGATCCATCTTGTGTATATTGCATTACTGGAATGGATCCACCCTTTCTTTCGATCATCAGCGAACAAACGTTCTACAGCATTCCCTCTGTGATAAAATCTACCATAGAGCTTATCAGAAATCAAATCGATTTGAAATGAACCAAACTTCTTCATGACAGAGATGGTAAATAAAAGAGTCGTCTGCCAATAAATTACAAACACAACATCTACATCAGAGGAGGTGCTTCGTTTCGAGTCGATATGACTAGGAGATAGAGTACAGATTTACAAGAGGAAAACAGAATTCTAAGCTAAGTAATCACTTCGAGATAGTTCTTACAAATTCAGTATCATTGAACCTTATCGTCCGCGGTTCATGATCTACAGCTGCTAGTTCTTGTAGGGACGGATATTTCACAAGGCTTGCATGCGTGAAACCATTTTCAGCACGGATTTGTTCTAACATAGCTTTCACATCAACCATTGTCGGTCTGTCGGAAGGCTGAGGGACGGTGCACAGCAGACCGATTCGGGTCAACAAGCTGATCTGCTTCAGCTGCACATCGCTCATAGTCTCCGATTCTTCCAACAGCTGCTGGTCAAGGACGAGAGAAAGATTCATCGGAAAAGCTCCCACAAACCACTGCCTAATCGTCATGTCCCCGCCAAGATCAGTGGGACGTTTTCTCGACAGCAACTCTAAGAGTACCACCCCAAAGCTGTACACATCTCCCTTGGTGGAAACTTTCATCGTTGACGCATACTCTGTTTCAAAATATCCACCACTAGCTCATCAATGCGAATTCAGCCTGATAACACTCCCACAACATCGCAATCCAAATGGTGACCTCGAAAGGAAGAAGGGGACGAAACTCATATGTATGACATGTATTAAACACATCCACAATTACAGTAACTACTGACAGGCAGTGATTGACATTTACACTCTTTCAAGGGCAGTCTGGGATTGCAGAGTTTTAAAATTAAGTTGGAAGGATTGATTAGCTTGCTTTGGGGAGAGAGAGAAAATGAGTACCTGGAGGAATGTAACCAGTGGAGCCGCAGACATTAGATGCAGTGACATCTCCTGTACCTGCCCCACTCTTGACAAATTTGGCGAGTCCGAAGTCACCAACTTTAGGAATCATGTCGTAGTTCAGCAAGATGTTGCTCGGCTTCAGGTCCAGATGGATGACGGGAAATTGGCAGCCGTGATGGAGGTAGTAGAGCGCCTCCACCACACCGGAGGCGATGTCGAGCCGGGTCTTCCACGAGAGCGGCTTGTTCCCAGGCCCGTAGAGGTGCTTGTCGAGGCTGCCATTCTCCATGTACTCGAGCATGATGGCTTTCATGGTCGAGGTCGAACAGAACCCGAGCAGCTTGACGAGATTCCGATGACGAAGGCTCCCCAGAGTCTCCAGTTCTCGGTCGAACTCGAGAGTTGCAATCTTTTTGAGGTGCTCGTGCCGTTCCAGATTGAGCTTCTTCAGGGCGATGGTGGTCTCGGGCAGAGGCACCTTGTACACGACGCTGCTGCCGCCCACGCCGAGCGTCTCGTAATTGCTGAACTCAAACCCATTGGTGTGATAAGCCAGCCCCTTGAAATCCACCTTCAGAATGGCGTCGTACTCGTGATGGTCTCGGAAGAGGTAAGTGGTGAAGTCGGACTCGCTGCTCCTCCTCTGCCGTCGCAGCAGAAGAATCATGGCGACCGTCGCTGCTACGGTGGCCACGATGAGAGCCAAAAACGTCCCCAGCACCGCCCTGGCCCAAGCGTGGCACAACGACCCGCTGCACGACGAGCCCGTGTCATTGCCATCGCTGCCGTCGACGATGCAGGCCGCGAGTGGAAACCCGCAGAGCAACGAGTTGCCTGCGAACGCCGATGCAAGGAATCTGGTGTTGAAGTTGTCCGTCTGCGGAATGGCCCCGGACAGATTGTTATTCGAAAGATCGAGAACTGCCAAGGAGTGCAGCTCTGAGAGCGTGGACGGGATCTCCCCACTCAGATTGTTGTCCGACAGGTCCAGCTGCTCCAAATCCTCCAGCAAGCCAAGAGTCCCAGGGATGGCGCCATCGAGCTGGTTTCGAGAGAAATTCAGCAATCTCAGCCCCCTGAGGTCCCCGAGATTGCTCGGAATCTGGCCCGAGAATTTGTTGTTGGACAAGTCCAGCAGCGTGTTCGATGCCAGGACGTATGTGTACGTGACCAGCCCGCCCTTGACGTGAAACTCCACATCGAAGACGAGCATGGGCTTGTGCTCGTCGTCCGTGACCTTGTCGAGACTGCTGTCGTAGGACTGAGTGGACTGTTGGAGCGCCTGCAGGGAAAGGAAGCTCGAGGGCATCGGGCTCGTGAACTTGTTATCGGACAGGTCGAGGATGGTCACATTTTGCAGAGTCCAGATCCAAGCAGGAACTGGCCCGCTGAAGTTGTTGGATCGGATGCTGAAAACGCTGATATTCAACATCAGGGAATTTGGCGCTACGTTCGGAAGAAGGCCGTCGAGCTGGTTTGAGCTCAAGTCGAGAATGTACAAGGAGCAATCTTGCAGTGAGGCGGGGAAATTGCCCGTCAGCTCGTTGCCGGCCAAGATTAGAGAGAAAGCAGGAGACGAGAAGTTGGAGAAGTCCACCGTTATATTCCCCTGCAGCGAATTGTACTCCAGATTCAGAAACTCCAGTTTCGTCAGATTACTGAGACTCCGAGGAATGGATCCCGTCAGGTTGCATTCATTGAGCCCGAGGGAAATCAAATTGGTGAGCTGACCGAGACCTTCTGGAATGATTCCGTTCAGAGAATTCTCGCCCAGGTAGAGGTACTGCAGATTTGTCAGACTGGCCAACCACACCGGAATCTCCCCGTGGAGTTTGTTGTCGTGTAACCAAATGGCTTTGAGCTGAGAGAAATTCTGCAGGAAAGGAGGAATTTCACCGGTGAATTCGTTCAAGGCGAGGTCAAAATTCATGAGGTTGGTAAGCTTTCCGAGGGCATCGGGAATCTTCCCAGAGAGTGAATTGTTGCCGAGAGAGAGAGTCGTGAGAGAAGTCAGATTTCCAATCTCGTCGGGTATGGATCCGTTCAGCTGATTATAATGCAACCACAGGATAGTCAGCGACCTGGCCTTTCCTATGGTGGCAGGAATATTTCCAGTCAGTAGATTCAAATCGAGATGAATCTCCTCGAGGCTGAATGTCGAGTCGAAGAGCTCCGGAGGAATGGAACCGTTCAGGAAACTGCTGCCTAAATTCAGAAACTTCAGATTCGAGAGCCGGCCGAGTTCCTTGGGAATGTTTCCTGTGAAAGCATTGAGAGACAATTGAAGAGTTCTCAGTTGGGTCAAATTCCCCAGCTCACTGGGAAGAACTCCAACCAGGTTATTCACATCGAAGTTGAAATCCACCAGCTGCGTCAGGTCCCCAACCTGATGGGGAATCTGTCCCGTGAAATTGTTGTTCCAGGCTATGATTTGTCTCAGACTGGAGCAGTTCCCAATCGAGGTCGGAATGCTTCCGAAAAGATGGTTCGAGTTTATGTCCACAGTTTCTAGCCTGGAGCACCGTCCTATTCCAATGGGCAACTCTCCCTGAAACTCATTCTTGTTCAGCTGGAGCATTCGAAGATTTACTAAAGCCACGCAGATGTTGTCGGGAATCGTCCCATTGAATCCGTTCCCATGTAGATTCAAGATTTGGAGGTTTGAGAGCTGACCGAAATTGTCAGCCAGATTGCCACTGAAGGAGTTCGAGTAGAGGGTGAGCTCTTGCATCTCGCGGAGTCGTGTAAGATTTCCCCATGGAACTTCGCCGCTCATGGAGTTGTTACCCAGATTCAGAACCCGCAGATTTGTCAGACGGCCGAGACTCTGCGGTATGCTTCCGTTCAGCTTGTTGCTTTCCAGAATCAGGTGAGTCAAGTTTCCTAAGTTTCCCAAATTCTCTGTAAGCTGCCCCTCCAGCTGATTGGCCGGCACACTCAAGACTTCCAAAGACGTCAATTTCGTGAGCGCTTCCGGAACCCCGCCTGTCAAAGAATTGTTGCCCAACGTCAAGCTTTTCAGCCGAGTCAGATTTCCGAGCGAGTCGGGAATGCTGCTTGTCAGATTGTTGACCTGGAGGGCCATAACTTGCAGGCTGAGCAGCCTCCCAATTTCTGTCGGTATGGCCCCATCGAAATTGTTGTTGGATAAATCCAAATTGTCGAGCTCCGTCAAGTCCCCGATAAATGTAGTGATCGGCCCACTCAGTCCCAGGCCTGAGATATTCAACGACCTCACTCGACCCGTGGCCCCACATTGCACACCAGTGTATTGACAATAACCGGCAGATGATGGATTATCCCAATCCCTCAGCGCTTGAGCGCCATCCTCAATCTCTCGCTTCCAAATTTGTAAGACGGCTCTGCAGGGCAAGTCGGACCAGAGAAGAGCTCCAAAGTCAGGAACGTCGAGATGGTGGATTTCATAAATTCGATTTCGTAGATGAGATTGGTTTCTTACTGCTCCCAAGCACCAACTTCAGGACTGTTCCTCCAGATTTTGATTACGCTACCTTTATTCTATACCCTAGAATTCAAAGCGCAGACTGGAAATTCTCGAATCCAGACAGTGACATGGTCGGCATACTATGGATAGAAAATAGGAACCAACCAATTGCAGATGCAAAATCAAAGATTGCCGTCAGCAATAGCAGGATCGATAGAGGTTGCAAAATCTCTTAGCAGTGGAGAAATGAGGAGTTCTTTTGCTAGTTACCGTAAGAGCATTCGCAGTTTAAGCAGATTGGAAAGAAAGCAACGCAAAATCTAGAAATTGTGTGCATACCCATCGCTCTGGGGTGAACTTTGAGCATTGCAGAAGACGATTCCTTCCTGGAGCCTGAGCACGAACAAAAAGTGTAACAACAGGATAATAATGTGCAGAGGCTTGGAACTGAAGTTTATAACCATGGCCCTCTTCTTGCCGATTTCTCATGAATCAAATTATGAACGCCGTCTACTTTTAAAATTCTCACTGAAACCCAACCCACTTATCTACCTCTACAACTCTTCTTTTCCTCTTCGTCCTCTGTTATAGGAACTCTGAATTCCTGGGATCCAGAATACGTTGCCTATGAACGGATGCAGATTTCTTAGTGATCCAATTCTAATTATCGACGCTCCCTTCGTAATCTATTTTCACTGACAGCACAGCCGACTAGCTTGAAACTCGGAGGATGTATCGATTCGTTTCTGGGATCCATACGCTGAGATTGTCAGGCAGACTTCCTTCCGTGCCGACTGTCCTGCAGTGAAGTCGACGGGATCGAGAAAACCACGCCGTGTAGTTGGAAATATAGACTCTGTCAGAGATGTCTTGACAAATCCGCTCGCTGTACGTCACAGAAATGTCAGGCGTGTTCTTCTCGATCAGTCAGTGCTCGCCTCTCGCGGGAGGGATCGAATGATGCGGACCTGTCGAATCCCAGAAGGGGTCCCAGTCAGTCCCCAGAAACTCATAGAATAATAGGTACGCCTGGAACTTTGTATGGGATTTGTTTGCCTGAAGACCAGGACACTGCTTCCAGCCTCGGAAGTTCTCACTTCACAGCACCGAGCGAGCTTTGACTTTGCTTCGGCCGATACAACAGTGTCGCCCACTGCACCTCGCACACCCATTGGCGCGTGTTCCCGCGTGTGTGACATTGTCTCATCCATTGCATCCATTAGGATGAGCTAAGCGACAAGATACCTGCGATCTCCTAGAACGCTAAGAAAGTCAACATTGTTCTCCGTGTCCACTACCAGATTATTTTGGCAAACTGTCTAGCAGCTCTTTTACCATCCCCGGGACATGCCAGAGCAGCGAAACATTTCTGCATTATTTTTCTGCATTGCACGCTGCTCTGGATATATTGGAGAGTTTATATAGTATCGAATTTGTAAACACTCTGGAGATAGCCTCTTTGTCGATTTTTGCCATATCTCTGCGACACGTGGATATGGTCGTCCGAACTGGGCAAATTATTCTCAAGGACATGAAACAGGAAGAGCTTCCTCTTGGGGCGGTATCTCTAAATCAGCATCTGACTGGATGTTCCTGTCCGATACATGACGAGACTTGCTTCGTAAGCGCAACGAAGTTGTTCCCAGTTTCATGAATGCCGTCGTTTCTGAACGCGTGGTGGGCTACTTTAGGTGAGACGCTTCACGACAGTGGACGATGTACATTACGTCAGGCAATCGTGACCTCTTCCACGGCTTCATTCGAAGACCTCGATAGAGCTTCACTCAGAAGTCACTACTTCGTCGACTCTATGCCTGTTCTACGGTGAAATTCATGGCACCTCGAAATAGACTTGGCAAGTCTGACGTTCAATTTTGACAGTGGAGATGGTTTCAAATATTGAATGATTTTCGAGTTCTTCGTAGCAGGACTCGACGCAATCTGGATTTTCGAGTTCGTATGATGTCCTGGCCTGGAGCAGGGATAGTACAGTGTAGAATGAACGATAGGGTATCTGTCACGACCTTGACAGCTCTGCGACGGATTACTGTCACCAGAGGCGAGTGTTTCGGTCTGCAAATTCCGAGATCCCTGGAGATTGTCTTATTCACTTAATGAGTGGGAACTGATCTTTGACCGCTTACATTTTGACCTCTTCAAGAGAAACGACCGACTGCGTATAAGTTTTACTGTGAGTCTTTGGCTTTCGCCATCTCCATGTGAAAATCACTCTATTTTGACTGCCTTTCTTGGGATTCGGTCGGCTCACATGCATTTATTCATATTATGCTGATCAGAAGACCTACATTTTATATGCTGTTCGAAAGCTGTTAACTTCATCAACCTTTAATTTTCCAATCCATACACGAAAGCACTCTGTAGAAGTTTCTCACTATCAGCCAGCTCCAATCAGAAAGCTTAAGGCCCACGATAATTCTGATTTATTTAACTTCAACGTTTTTGACCAGCAGCGGAGACTGTAAACCCTCCAGAACATTTTTGAAAACTTGCCCAGCATGAGCGATAAAAGTAAAATGAACCAACTTGATCGATAATTTATGACATTGATCTTCGTGACCCCGCAGTCAAACCATCCCTAGAGGACTTTCGAGCACACTCGGACTGTGTTTCTACTGGTGGCCCTGGTCCGGCGCGCAGAAGTGCGAAGTGGAGTCATATAGAGAAAGAGTCAACCTTCTAACAGGGTATCGGTGACCAAATCGGACGCTAGAGTTGAAAGAAAAGTCTTTTCCTAGCGGGACTCTCGCCGAAGAGCACAACGAGCTGACTCCATTCAGGGATGCCTCCACTTGTCTCCGAGAGTCGACAAAATATATATATCACAAACTAGTTTGTTGGGATATCTCAGCTTCGTAACTACAACACACGTCGCTCATTGACTCGGATTCGGCTCCGTAGCTTCAACTTCTTGGCTTTTCAAGGAACGCTGTCTTCGAGTTCGAGCACCTGAGTGTCAGCAACCAGTAGTGCAGCACCACATGAATTCTATCGATGGCGGACTGCTAGAATGACTGCTAGAAAGGCCCAGTCGACTGCGGGGATTGACCACTCGTCCTGCCTAGTATCCTATCCTCGCCGCCGCCTTGATGTGACAACGAAGTCTTAGTCAACGAAATGAATACAACAAAGATACGACGATCGCCATCAAATCCTTCTTTGAAGAATCGAAAAGGCAACAGGGAGCTATTGCCCAATATGTATAATCGAATCTTAGATATTAAATCTATTTGGCTCAACGAACGACACTTTCATTCACAAGAATCATAGTATAACACAATTCTTTCTTCTAGATTGCACTATTCTATGTATCGTTATTGGTATGCGAGAAACAATTATTGTAGCTTTGATTAGATCACACAATAATCTAACGAGAGAATAGAACTTTCCTTTAGATTGGTTGTTTCGTGACATACTCTTTAACAAACATGTGAAAGGAAGCATTTCTAGTGCGTATTATTCCAAAAGGTTGTATCCTCTACATATTCTTTTTAGGGAGACCTTGACTACTTTTTCGCCTTTGCAGCTCGTCTAACAGATTGTTCATCTAACTTTCAAAAACTATGCCATGTTTAATATTGGTAAAATTCATTTTTATAATGGTTATACGACGTTCCAAATCAAAAATAGGTTTGAACGAAAGTAAGGTAATTGCAAAGCATAGTTATATTACTATAAAGCATACACCTTTTCTCAAAACAAGAAACAGAAAATTCTTGATGTTATAATATCTTTAGATATGTTACATCTAAGAAATCATAACACTAATAGAATAACAAACAGAAAGAATAATTCATTGACTTAAGAATATTTGCTAGTGTCACTACGAGCATAATATTTTTTTTCAACAAGTTCTGTTTTTTTTAAGTATTAAGACAAGCTTTAATTTTATAAATAATTATGGGATTCACAAAAGTTGAACTTTAAATTTTTTTTTAAAAGAAGTCAATAAAGCAACTAAGATTTTATATCTCCAAATAATTGATGAGCAAAAAGTAAAGAATAGAATCTTGTAACATAATTTTTCATGACAAAGAATTCAAATCTTTTTTTATTTGACAAAATCTAAATGAAACCTATATGTAATCACAAATTGCAAAGATTAATAAAGTATCAAAATTTTAACAACAAGCCATACATGTAGTAAATTTTAACATTTTTACTGATAAAAACCTTATAAAATAATTTGATCATAAATGAACATATTAGAGTTTGTCTAAATTATGTTGTTCTTTTCATCACATATTTACATATTCTGAAAGAATTAATTATGCCAAGATTGATTTGTAAATTCTAAGTTTAACCTGATCAAGATTGGATATGTAATTTTGTGGTGCTTCCAAAATAATTTAATTGAATTTTTAATTAAAGGATTAAAATATTCATTTAGCAATGAAAAAATATATCCATTAACATAAATAAAAATAAATTATAAAAAAATTTAGCCATTAACATATTCATTCATATATGATATTGACAGAAAGGGTTAGAATCACTATATCCACCATGAAATAATATTGAATCTTATCACTTTAATACATTACATATTTTATAGGATTTTATCTTCAAAATCTACTTAATCAAGTTTATAATTCATTAAAAACATAAAAATAAGCTTTATTTAAATTTATTTCTGATAAATTTCATTGCATTGCTAATACCATTTTAAACGTTGTAAATGATACACATATCAATCATTCTAAACTTAAATTTATGATGACGTTCTCTATGTATGTTCTTATTTTTCTTAAGTTTCATTAGATTAACATCATAATCTGTCAAAACTGTCTTAAGTGTCGAAAGTTGTCAATAGTTGAAAGAGAAAATATTTTTCAACTTTTGTAAAATTACATATAATAATGTTTAAAACATAAAATTTTACAACTTCATCAATACTTTGATGCTAAAACATTCATATAATGTTGGGATCGCAAGAGTCATATAGAGTGACTTCCATCATTAGAATCTGAAGTACATCATCATATCAAAGATCATGCAGATGACTGATGTTTTTATCATCTCATAAAACTCGTGTCACAACTTAACAATGATAAGCAAAAAAACAAATTTAGCATCATAATCAAGTTCAAGAGGTAGTATTTGAATCAACCATACAGATGACTATAATTTTGACATATATGATTGAAATACTAATCACTTTGGCAAACCAACTTGTGACTTGAAGACCGTATTTTACTCAAGTTTTCGTTGATTTTTTAACATAACATCTTGAAACAAGAAGAAGAGATCTCAATCCAATACATGTTATCCAATATCTTAAACATCTTATTACAAAAGTTATCAAAATCTAGACTCTACACCCTTCTGAAAATATTCACAAAGAGTAAATAATCATTCAGAATTTGAACGTTTATTTTGATCACGAAAAACTTACTCGAAACTAGTTTTACTAAACCTAAATTGAGCTATACTTCTCTAACTCTTCTTTGATTTACTTAAGAAATTATACTAGTATTTGAAGATGATTGTCATACAAACTTATCTTTTGAAGCTAATTCAGGTTAAAATCAGGAAGAAAGATTAATATCTGCAAATAGTCCGGTTAAATTAACCAGTTCTAATTAACGTAATATTGGCCCATATGTACCGAGCCAATCATAAATACTCGTCAAGTCAAATCAATGAAAAAAATCAATCAGAATGAATGATAATTATTTCATAAAGTATACACTTCGATAATCACTAACAGTAATGTAATTGAACTCATTAAATTCATAAAAATTACTCATAATACATATATGAGATAACACTCCATAATTCTTTTCAACTTACGCATGACTAAGTAAAAATACTTCACTTAAACTCTTAATTATATATGTGCAATCATATTTCGTACAGATCAATGGACTCAAAACGATCCAAAAAAACACCAGTTTTTCTTAATGTTACAACCGTCAATATTGATGTATTAGCCCTTCTTACACCCGCAGCGTAAGTGGTAAATTCATTATCTTTGTGAATTTTCTTGGAAAAGTATCATTCTTAAAAGAGATATAAAGCAGATGAAAGATTAGACTTCATGTATCATGCACTACTTTAAAACACCCATGAGATAATTGACTAGCTAGCGCATAAGAATAGCAAGACACTTGACATTCACACTAGCATTTACTTGCTCCTGCAAAATCTTAAATCT